GTCTTACAAATGTTCAATCCCCATGTCTGCTGAGAACAACATAAGAAAATGTATCTACTGTATGATGTATTCATACATATAAAGTGTATTATATAGCTATAACATAAATAATTACAAAACACTCAATATCATAGTGGACTGTCCCTTTGCTGTAACTTTGCTGCAAGGAGAGAGAAACCTCACTAATTTTACACTTGTTTTGATGATTACAGGATTTTAGCCTTATAAGGTCATAGATATGCTTCCAAAAACATCTGCAACACTTAATATACAAGGACAAGATTAATATAGTAAAACAAAAGCTCTTTTTAGAACCTAAACCTTGAGAAACTGCTGAACTTATTATAGCCAAATCCTAAAGCACAGTACTATATCAAGCCTGTCATCATGAAAATCCTTTGATTAAAGTCCTAAACATGCTCTTCAAGGAGTTCTTAGTTTAGATGCCAATGAGCACTGTTTCTTTTCCACAAGAAGGGTCCAAAAAGTTGTTCGCCTTTTTCAGCAGTGATAAAGAGAGATCAGTGCTTATTCAGTGGATTGGTCTCCAGGCCAGTGAGATGCAGGATTGTGAGTTCTTTGCATTGAGCTACTGTACGTTTCCAGATGCCTGTGCTGCGCAGGTCTGTGTAATGATAAAAAGAGCTTCCACGAGGCAGTACTAGATGTTTAGACAGCCTGCAGTGTCCTTCATAGTTCTCAGGGCAGTACTAGATGTTTAGACAGCCTGCAGTGTCCTTTGCCAATGCATTATGAGTGAGAGTGCATTCACTAAAACAACTGCACTGGGATGTCTATTTGAATGTGTCGATACAGATTCCTATCAGTTTTTACCAAATAGATTGTTTTTGTGTAGGGAGTGTTATGTGATTAGTTGTGTTTTATATAATCCTAATTATATATACAGTACATATATTATAATTAAAGTATGAATGGGCATATAAATGAACAATTAGGACACAGTCTTTTTAGCAATAATGATTAAAATGATGAGGGAAGAGTGTTGAATCATATTGAGGATTTTATGTATACAGCTGTCCTCCAGGCTATAAAGATTTGTGCCAGCATATTTCCACCTACACTGGCGCTACTATTTTTGTTAGCAGTGCAAAATGTTTCTAATTTTATATAAGTAGTAGCTGCAGCACAGCTTCTCTTTGGCATGTCAACAACAGACGATTTAGAATGTGAAGATACTTTAAAAGCAGATGCGTGCAAGTATACATTCACTGTACAGATACAGCAGCAATAATGGGTTCATTCTTAACACACTTTCAGCTGTATAATTATATTGTCTCGTTGGAAAAACGTCCTTAATACAAGGCTGACTAACTTAAAAAATGATAGTACTGTTTTTCTACAGTGTGATGTGTGTCAGCACAATTATGAAAACACTTCCAGTTCAACTTACAACTGCATTTTTTTAAAATATGAGTATATGAATGCACTTCAGATTCACCTTACAGCTTTAAAAACAATCATAAACCTGAAAAGTAATTTTGCTTAGTAGTCCAGTCCTCTTTTTCTTCTGCTTTAATTATTCAAGATTTAATTTCTTCATCTTTGACGGTCTGCACTGAGGAGAAGGTTCCCAATTTTTTCCGGGTTCAGGGTTTCTACAGCACTTGAGTGCCTGCCATGAATCTGTGTCTAGGGGCTATTACTGTCATCATGCTCTGCATTCATATCCTACCCCAGAGGTATGAACCGTTTTAGATTAAATACCAGGAAAGCTGACACTTTAATTAAAACCTGTAACCAACTGTAATGTACTTACAGTATTAAAATGCAGACATTTTTTCTTACACTGGCATTTCTTATGTCACAAGCTATGAATAAAAAGCAAACATAGCACAAGAACAAATTTTATTGACCAGACCCAGAACATTTAAAACATGCACCACTGCCTGAAATGCAAAAAAATCTTTTCTGTATCTCCCTTATGTGTTTGACATGCAGTGCCTTAAGTTGTTCTGTCACACAACACCAGAAGGGAGTTTTAAATTATGCACAATATGGAGCAAGAAATAAACAAATGTGCAAGGTGTAGATATGATATACTGTACATCTATTTATTACATGAATTGGTATAAAGAGGTACAGTATGTATGAACATCATCTATTTATCTAGATGATAGAAATTGGTAAGAGTAAATATTCATACCAGTTTTTCATATTTCACTGTTTTAAACACTCCATAACCCTGAAAAGTGTTCCGTGTGAGACATGTCTGTCTCTCTGTGTATTGTTTATGAAGCCTATATAAACCTCAAAATGAGTATATTGTAATGTAAATCAAAACTTTGAATACAGAATGGCAGCTCTAGCTTTTAAACTGTTTACATGGTGAGTCATAAGTTCCAAGGTAGAAAGATGGATAGGAATATGCTGAGTGATTCATTTATCTGCAAGCAGTATAGACAGAAAATGTGGGTCAGCAGCTGATTTCTTTATATAACAGGAGGGGGTGCATTTTAAAAATAAAACGAAATCCTTATTCATACTGAGATTGGTTTCACTTCTCAGAAGTCCTAGTACAAATTTAGGCCCTCCTTGTAAACAGGATGGTGACAGTGCAGGTGGCAGGGGAGAGGCCGTGGTGAGATACCCCTCATTACCACCAAATATAAATTAGATTATATTTCATATAGTAACCTGTTTGTTTAAATGTATTTGTTCCATCAGCATTTAATTCATCACTTTGTTCTGCAACACACATTAATTTGTGTAGAATGATGTATTGTGGAAGGATTCCAGGTTATCTATTAGGAATCCATTGCAAAGGATTATAAACAGTCTATAAATGTAATTGAATTTAGCATTAACAGCAATACATATATTTCAAAATAATAATACAAGAAATTAGTGTTGTAATACAGTTGATATTCTGTCACATTTATAATACTCCAGTTATTAGTACTGATAGCGTATTTACAGATGAAATAGATATAATGTCCAAAGCATTGCTAAATAATTTTGTGTAGCCTCAACGTGATGCATGCTTTAATCATACCGTACTTAGACAGACATGCAATCACCATGAGGTGAAACAGACATTTGATGATGTTCAGGATAAGAAACAACCCATTTAAATGAGCTTGTAACAGAATGAACTGCATTCTTGCTCTTTCAGTTTTAAGTAGTGAAATTCGATCAAAACAAATAAGTCAAGAGGGCCCAGTGCTCAGGTTTAAATGCAGTTACCCACACCTGTTATGAACTTTTTTGACTTCTCAAAAGGTTTGATTGAATGATCTGAACGTACTAATTATACATTTGTGTAGCTCAGTTGGCTAAACCCTTGAGAAGCTCCTTTCCTGAGATGAGAAAGGTTTTTGGTTCAATGACCTCGCTGGAGGAAAGCGGCTTATCAAGCTAAGTTAGCATCGGCCAGATGGAATCCAATTGCAGAAGAAGCCAACTTACAGTGCAAGGCACATTAGCTGTGGCAGGTTATTCTGTGTGCAATGGATAATGGTGCCAAAAGTTTAAAATATTTGTCAAATATTTGGGTGTTTCTCCTTTTGGATTTTCTATATGAGATCTGTGGCATCTTGACTTTACCACGTTGATTTGATCGTCCAGAAAATCCGTAGTGCCATCCATCCCCCTACATTTCTCACTGCTGTCTCATTTGGCTTCGGCCATCTTTGATTTGATTATCTTGGCTCTCAAGTGTTGCAATCTCTATTCACTTTCACCAGAGAAAAACAAAACTGTATGGCGTGGTAGGTCAGTGTCTTTAAACGTTACCTTATGGCTACTGAAATCACAAGGCTACCTAAAGATAAAGAAACAACATTGGCTATATGTAAAGATTAATCCCATACTGAAATAAGAAACAACAAACACAAAGTTTAAGCTGTGGATAATTCTTCAAATTTGTGTTTTTGCAACCAGTGTTGTATTTTTGCTTTTTTCCTCCAGTTTTTCAGCATGGAAGTTCTCTCCACATGTTCCTACAGTATGCAGATCTGAGTCCACTGCTCTCCACTCTAACATCATTAGAAATGGTTAAGGTGTTTCCATTTCCCTCCTGATTTATGTAATAGTGCCTTTAGTCTGCAGTTTGCTTATAAGCATTTATTGTTTGGAATGGATGCACTTGATACTAATGCCTTGTAAATAACGTGTTGATGACTAGTTGCTTCATGGTAACATATGTGTTATGAAGCAGTTCTCTTATTATGTTTTAATGAAGTTTGGTAGCCCTTATTTAGCATATTGTTGCCTGTGTGCTTGACTACAGTAGGATGAAGCTATTGTCCTTGCTAGGGAGAATAAGAAGGTGACCCTGAAAGCATTTTTTACTACATAGAATACAGAAGTCCACTGTTATCTAAGTAGCTCTTAAAATACCATACAGCACTTCTGTGTCCTTTCTTGCAGTTTGTGAACTACAGGAAGCTAAGCCCATCGATTCACTATTGCAGGAACTCTTACTTTTAGCTAGGACAAAGGTTGAAGGGAGATTTAAATCTTAAAGGTGCCTCTTACATAATTGGCATTCATACAGAGCAAGGCAAAAACTGCAGGCACTAGCTGTCTTTCAGATACCTTTCTAAGACCTCTCTGTTAGAATCACTATGTGAGTTATATTTAAAAGTCCATGTTTCACAACTTTCCAGCATGACGGTCATCTTTAGAGCAAGGAAAACGGTGCTCTAGATGTCTTTGTGGGCTATATGGGAACCTGTTTCATATTTTTGCTAAGATACCTAAAATATATTTTTTTTAATGATATCGGTGTCATTCAAAGTGATTTCTAAAAATAGAGCTGAAGACATCATTAGTAAGAATAAATAAAATATTATAAAAAGTGATACCATTACTATTATAAAATGGAACTGTTAAGAAATGAAGAGATAACAGCATGTTATGAATCCACTAACATTACAGCTGTTTGCTTTTGACAGTGCTACATATATGCTGGCGGCACTTTGGTGGGCGTTACCATGACGTCTGCACAAGGCCAGTGTTATCAGGCAACAATGGATCTGCCATCCTTGCTCTTGCCAGTCTGATCTGCAGGATGGCGGAGATTATTGTGTCTGTGCAACATTAGAGAGTCTTCATTTGCAGTTCTCCCCTTGTCTTCTGCCTCTGCTGTATGTGTGGAATTAAAATAACAAGCAGAGCTGTGTGTGTAGAAGTGGGATTGAAAGAGCAACGAGCTGGCTGACGGGGCTGTGCTGTGCCTTGCTGAAGCTCTTCAATCCTTTTGAGTGGATGAGCAATTCAGTGCATTAATGGGACTGGGCTGGCATGGTCACATGGTCCCAGGGCTGCCTCTCCTCTCACTGCTGCTTTGCCTGCCTGAACACAGCCTGCTCCGCCAAGCTGGAGTACTGCAGGCCGGTATTACCATATTCCACCGTGCTGGAGATTTGGGAGAAACGTGCAGTATGCATCCTCTCCATTCACTGATAGCCTGAACCTGAGCCTTCTGCAGTTGTTTTTATTAGCTTGCTCATTTCCAAAGGATTGCTTTATTTTCTTAAGAAGCTGCCAGACCATGTATTCATTCGATGAATTTGGGTAAGAATATTGCTTTTTCTCGATGTGGAAAAATGATCTCTTTTCTTGCAGTGTTTTACCGTGTTGTATGTGCAATGCAGTGCTGCAATGTCTGTAAAAGACAAACCTAACTGCATAGATAGTGGTGTGTGTAGAGTAGAGCTTTATTGTTTTTATTCTTTTTCTGTTCGTGCATTATTATGTTTTCCTTTTGCCTTTTTTTCTGCAGCTGCAGACAGACGGCCCAGTTTGCATGTTTTTGGTGAGCATTTTTGCAGGCTTTTCATCAAAGGCTAGCAGAGTTCAAATATCAGCCAGCAAAGACATCTGCAGAGCACTCTGCTCACTGTAGCTTTTTTTTCTCATAAAGGAATTGTGTGATTAGCTGTGTACACTTGGCTGTGACAGCAGGTTAATAACTGTCAAGATAAATGACTGTATAGGCTTCTGTTGCTTATTTAAATAGTGACAAATAAATTAAATTGAGTAAATGTCATACATGCATATATTCTAAGCATGGTCATGGCCAGAAATAATCAAAGGCTTTAAATGGACCATATTTTGTAAGATGCAATGAAAATGGAAACAATACTTTACTTAACAATAATCTGTGGCTTTGTGAATTGATATGAATAAAGGAGGGAAGGCTTGAGCTTTGTATGTTTTTGAATCCTGATGTTTAGGTTAACGTAATGGTGTTTAAATTGCTGCGGGCTCATCCTGTGTAATCCCTAATCTAAACTGGGATAGTCCTGTAGCAGAATTCCAGATATATTGTTTTATTTAAAATGTAGAAAGTAGAAACCCTGGCCGTGGGTGGCATTCTGGATGAGGGGGAAACCTGAGGGTTGCAAGCACTCCTGGTTTAGATCAGTGATGTGATGTCTCTCAGCAGAACATGCCATCACTCGTTTCATTCAAACTCATATCAGCCTGCGATTTTTTACTCCCAGACCCAACCCCTCCCCCTTCTCCCCCCGCCCCAACAACCGCATGAAGCAGCAAGGGAGTGACTGATAGATGATTTAGATGACATTATTGGCTGTCTCGGATGTTTCTTTTTCTCCAGCTCTCAAGGGCTTCTAGTCCCTGACCTTGGAAAGCGTCTCTAAACCTGTGGAGAGATCAGCTTAGAGACAGCTGTCTGCAGCCTTTACTCTCTCTGTCTTCCCCAATCTCTCTCTCTCTCCTCCTTCTCCTTCGCCCTTTTCTTGCACCAAGCTGTGTGTGAGCAGGTTGGTCAGCAGGGCTGCACCTGAAAGAGAGAGCGGGAGTGTGGTGGGCAGTAGCCTGCTTTTATACTGTTACCACCCTGACATTGGGCTTCAATGGAAATACCCCATTCATAAATGGAAGTGTGTCCCTTTAAGGATTAGGATGAGATCCACAATGAAGCGGAATCCTGCTGTACAGCGCTGTGGATCGCAGTGGGGGAAGGGCTGTTGCCATGTGTCTCTACCCTTCTCCTCTGCTGGCTGTGCTCTGGCTCTTATTAACACCTGGACCATGTCTCTTCTTCGAAAGACACTCTGAAGATTAAATTATCTTTTCAGGTTTTTTTTCTGCAGCTCCTCTGTTCATATTCCACAGAGAAATAGCAATAAAATCGAAGGAATTCAGACAGAATAAGTGTGTAGAAAGAAACATGCGGCTTCTGTGCACTGCACCTATAAGGAAGATGGTAAAATTAGAGCTTTCAACTGATTACTTTGTACTGTACCAAGGCGTTATAGGTATTTGCTGTTTAAATATACTTATACTTAAATAAACTTGACTTGAACTTGACTTGAATATATAGCTTTTTAATTATATTTCAGTTCTGATGACACCTGATCTCAGTGTACCTGGCATTATCAAAATACATTATTTACATTACATTTAAAAAAGTATTTCAAGTACTCATAGGCTTATGAAGGTTTTCCTTTTATTTTTTATCCTCATTCATTATGCGAGAATGTGAGTTTGCCTACAGTGTGTAATGAGCAGCTTGTTTTTTTCCCAGCTGTGCTTTTCTGGTTGTTTTTTATTAATAGAATATTTAAAAGGACATGTTTTTTGGAGGGAGAGAAAAGGGGAAAGTATATACAAGTAAAATGTTCCTTCTTTATTCAGGAATTCCAGGAGTGAAAGGGTTAGAAACCTCATGTGTTAATGTGCAATGAATCAGGCCCAATATTTCCTCTTTGAAACAGATGTCTGCTTCAGGCACACAGCACAGTGACAGACTCGCTAATAGAGAAGCTAGAATGCCGTCAGTGAATCCAATTTCAAGATTTGCTTTAGAGGGCTATGGTGGATTACTTTCCTTCTGAGAATTATCACTCCAGCTTTTAGAGTTCCATTTGTTTTTGCTATTTAAGTGGCTTCTAGCATTAGAAGATGAAACAAAATGTACTGTAAGAGGCACACCGAAACAGTAGTCAGAAGTTCAATGGAACAGAAACCCTTCAGCACTGTTTAAAACTCTTTAACTCAGAGGGACTCGAATGTTCAAAACCGGCCTCTAGCAATGGCACAGATTTCAACATTTTCTCCAAGCCTGATTAAACCTGGGTGATGCACTTGCTCAGATAAATTTGGTTGCCCTGACTTCATCTAAAATGCCCTGCCACATTCAATTTAATCCCCCATTTGCATTGTGAAATAAGAGATGACCACAAAATTATGTTTTTCTTCTAAAATTGTTTGTTCTTGTTAATGCAGATGGCAAAATTTAGTCTGTGTTCTCACTTGACCTGACTTCCACAGAAGTAAATGTTTGCGATAAGGACCTCAATCGAGCCTGAAAGAGGAAAAATAAACTAAATGACTGCATGGCTCCACCCAGCTAAACCCCTAAGTTTTGCAAAAGCGTTTTGTGTATATCACAATAAAGATGACGAAAAGAAACGGACTAGAACATGCATGTCATTGCCGTTGGATCTCCACAACATGCTTTTTAATTACCTGATCTTGAAGACACAGAGGAGGACTCGTACCTGTTGGTGTGACGCTGTGTCCTGTCTTGAGCAGCCAAGTGATGATATGGCTGCCAGCTTCCCCCAGAGCTTTTTTCTCACAGAGTTGTGTTATCTGGGACTGGGAGGAGGAAAAGATTATACAGAATGCAGGAAAAAGGTGATCTCTGGTTGCTGCATGGCTTTAGATGCATTGCATTCTCCTGCTTTGTTGTGTATTACAATAACTAGTTCTTATTTGGCTTTGAGATAGGCATAGATTGATTTCATTTGATGTTTAAGAATGAGTTGCTCTTTTCTCAGACATCAGCCATCCAGGCTAATTAAAAAAAAAAGACTGATTTGTCTTTTGTCCCTTTTAGACAGATATTTTTTTCCATTCTTAGTTCATAATCCTCATAGGAATTTTGGAAATAGGTTAGTGTGTCTTCAGTGTAGATGTGGACATGTAATGTAGAGATGCTGAAAAGCTCTATTTTGCACTGTCATAGTTAAAGAACAAGACTGGGCACTGGGTGTTCTTTTGTTAGTGAAAGGACTGTAACAGAGAGAGAAGTGACGTTAATTAAAACTATTTTGTGATATGTTACCTCAAAATTAATTTTCTGTCCAGCAATGTGACAGGTTTTACATTTCCAAGCTTTACTGTGTACTGTATCTGGATCACTTCTCGTCACTGGTTAGCAAAGCAAGTACATTGAGTTTCAAAGAAAGGCAGGATTACTGTAGCTAAAAAAACACACAGCTCCACAGACATCTTTGTAGTCCGATCTATTTTTTTTTCCAAAAATTCAAAACATGAAAATCTATTTTTAAAGTGTTTACCCTTACAGTATAAATCCTTTCATGTCTTACTAGATTTCCTGCTGTGCAAAATCTTCTACTTTTAAAACTGGATTGATTTATAGTGGTTTGAAGATGGCAGTATGCCTACTGTCTCTCAGTTTGCAGCTGTACATGTTGTCACCTACACCACTTCACCTACCTTTGGATTATGCTATCTTTGGACTTTGGACTATGCTGTTCTTATAAACTAACAAAGCTGTGTAGCAAAGACAACCTAAACCGAAGAGATGTACAAAACTATATAACACAACTGGGATCACATTGGCTAGTTTCACTATCACTGTAATGTCATGGATAGCAGATTTCACTAAACAGTGTGATTAGAGAATATTTATAATCCATTTTGGTAATCAGTGTTTTGTGCAGTGTAGGGTATATTACAGCATAATATCACAGAAAAGCATTTCTTAAGTATTTTTATAAGTTTTTCTGGCACTGTGTTTTGGCATATATTTATTAGGGAATGTGGAAGAAAGTGTTTATCTTCATACTGTTGCTTATTATTTAGATTGTGAAAAGAAATTGTTGGAGTCAAAGCCAGAAGAGTTTTCTGCTGCTATTCTAGGGAAGAGAGTGAGATTGTGATAGGAGGAAAGCGGGGGAAATGAGATTTAATTTAAAAGTAATCCATGAAATTTACCAAAGGCACTTTGAGCTTGGTGATGTAAATTCAAAAACTAAATATATCTCAGGAAATGATTTTCAAGAGCTTTTCAACTGGAATGATACATTATCTTGGTGCTCAGTTAAATTTTGATTGGTTTGCATTCCTTTCAGGTTTTGCTAGTTATTGGTAATAAATGCATTTAAATACACTTTAATTCCAACATGAACAAAATAACTGTCTGGTCTTTTTTAGTGAATTTGGCTGACTTGCCTGCTTCTCCAAATGTACAGTTCTGTTTACAAATTCTGGCTGCAATGGAAGGACTGTTAGAAGACTATTGCATTTGGCTGCATAGTTTAGAGACACTGAACACTGGCATTGAATAAATATTACTGTTAGGGCATGATGTGTATATCTTTGGTACTTGGCTGTCCCATTGACAATGTTCCTTTTCCTGCATCTCCAGTTTCCAGTTCCTTTTAACTGCACCTCTCTGCTGCTGTATTCTGGAAATGTTGTAATAAAATAATGTAAAAATCGTATCTTAGTGAATGTTAGACCTCTGATTCTTCTTTGGGGTCATTGCACTCGTGACTATGACACATTTAGAGATGAGATACCCGGCTGAATAATAAAATTAGGAAAGAAAATATTTATGTCTTTAGAGATGTAAGAAAAGTAATGTGTCTTTTTTAGTATGTTAAATCAAGTTTCTTCACAAGATTTCTTTGATTTCTTCAGATTGTGAACAGCTCAACAGACATACCATGAGACCTCTAGGTAAATAACTCTGCTCTTTCTCTTTCTGTGCATTTGTGGTGCTGATTACTGAAATGGAGAGATAGAGATTTG